TATTTCTAGAAAATCAAACAGATGAATTCTATTTTTACTTCCAGTACCTTATAAATATTTAAAATTAGCAACTCCAGATAACACATTAAAACTCAAATCATTAAATCTGTTAGCTATTAAAACTTTAAGGACCCTTTCTTTTTCACAAAATGTACACTGAAAAGAACTAAAGAGAGAAGTTATTTCTCCACAAAGTTTTCATTAATGCGAACAGTCTCTGGCAGCAAAACATCTGGATGGAGCTTCAGAAATAACACTGTCTCCAAACAACTGAAGTGGCTTCACAGGCGCAGCCTGATGTTTCCGGAGCTGTATTCCTTACACTGTAAGTATACAAACTCTCAGCAACTCAGAAACAATGACAACCGAGGGTCATCTGACACTCACTTTTCAATCTCAATCCCAAGTGGATTAGCAGGACGGAGGGACAATGGAGGAATGCCTTTATTCCTGTCGGTGCGCATGTCGTAATAATTCATTTCATCTACCCAGACAGCCGACTGATCCAGGATACCTAAGAAAAATGGGAAGCACATCCTTAATAAGGTAAAGGAAGCTTCCAAGTCTTGCCACATTGCTTTAACTTTCTTAAAGTTGTATAGAAGCACGCTAAGATAATTTTTCAAAGATGTGAGGGTACAATAGTCCAGATATTTTTATAATGGCTAATGACTTAACTTAAAACACTAAGAATCTATAAGAAGGTAGTCTCACAGTTTCACAGTACATTACTTAATATAGAAGACAAATGATGGTTACGAAAAAGTTCTGTCAAAACAAGAGTACGTTACAAATGATAAGCATTATGACTATGCATTTTCAAACATTACTGGTTAAACAGGGAAAAAAGATTCCAGTCATTAGTATATATGATTCAATGAGACTACCCTGAAATCATATAAACTTTCGGAAAACTTGTAGGAAATACCTAGACACAAGACTTGAATTTTCTGTTGCTGCTAAGTACCGTCGAGTCGCTTCTGACCCATAGCATCCCTGCATAGGGTTTCCCAGGAGCAGCCAGTGAGTTTGAACCCACCAACCTTGTGGTTCAAACAGACCTTGTGGTCGAGTGCTTTATTCCCATAGCACCACAAAAGCCAGTTAAATGAAAAGATTTATATTTCTGATGACTGTTGAAAATCCATTATGTATATATAATTTTATATTTAATACTCAAGAGTTTCTTCTGGTAAACAGGAAAATCAAATGTTCTTTAAATGGTTCTTGAAAACACTCAAGAATGTCTTTCCTTGTCTTTTCCAACTCAAACACTGACATTTTCATTTTTTTGTGATATTGTTGATGTGAAGTGCCATGGAGTCAGTTCAGACTCAGAGCAACCCTGTATAGGGTTTCTGAGGAGTGGCTGGTGAGTGAAAACCACAATCTTGGGGTTAGTAGTCCAGTGCTTATCCTACAGCAACACACCAGGACTCTTTTTTTCTGATAGGTCTACAAAATTAATATACTCCTTCATGCTATTTTCCATTCCTTTAACTGTACTAAAAATGTTCTAATAGTAATCACAGAAGGTTGTTTTCATATTATGCTGAAATCAACGTGGCACATTCGACCAAATATCTTAAACACATTCCAAAGAATACCCAGCTTGTGTTACTAAAATGAAGGGCTGGGTAGACTCTGTGAATAAGACACAATCTCTGAAAACCTGGGTCCAATATGTTTGCAGCTCTTAGCAATCACAGCCAGGACAGGACAGCCAGCTTCCAGCTCTGGCTATCACCAGTGGACTGAGGAGCCCAGTATCAGGAAGCACAGATGAGAATGGCCCGGCCCTGCCTGGAGGAAGGAGCAAAGACTACACAGAATAAGAGGGTATAAGACCGGCATCCTTTGTGATTCCTAGTCTTCTCAATACCTAGTGCAGCCCTGCCTGGAGGAAGGAGCAAAGACTACACAGAATAAGAGGGTATAAGACCAGCATCCTTTGTGATTCCTAGTCATCTCAATACCTAGTGCAGGCCTGCCTGGAGGAAGGAGCAAAGACTACACAGAATAAGAGGGTGTAAGACCGGCATCCTTTGTGATTCCTAGTCTTCTCAATACCTAGTGCAGCCCTGCCTGGAGGAAGGAGCAAAGACTACACAGAATAAGAGGGTGTAAGACCAGCATCCTTTGTGATTCCTAGTGCTCTCAGAACTCAGTGCGGTAGAGGTCTCGTCAGCGGGGAGGACAGCAGGGGCAAATACTCCCCACCCTGCACGGGTCCCCATGCATTCCCTGAGCCAACTGTGTCTGGCCCTATACTGGTGCCTGAGAATCGATTTACTGCTTTCCCAGAAGCATTCTTTTGTTGTTGTGAAGTCCCATCGAGTCAATTCCGACTCATAGCAACCCTGTTTAAGGTTTCCATGGCGTGGCTGGGGAGTTTGAACTGCAGACCTCAAGGTTCAAACTGACCCTGGGGTTCAATTCATTATCCTACAATGTCACACCAGAACTGCTACGTTGTTGTTGTTGTTAAGTGCCAATGAATGGGTCCTGACACATAGAAGCCCTGTATAGGGTTTCCAAGGAGCGGCTGCTGAGTATGAACTGCCGACCTTGTGGTTCAAATCAACCTTGTGATCCAGTGCTTTAACCACAGCGCAACACCAGGAGTCCAGTACTGCTATATAAACATGGACTTCCTCAAAATGCTCCTTCAGAAAACTGGAAAGTTGCCTGCTTTTCTTTCACAGTTAAGTTTTTAAAAAGATTAAATAAAAATGAGTAAATACAAATATTATATGTTGTTGTTAAGTGACGTCGAGTCAGTTCTGACTTAAAACAACCCTGTGTGGGATTTCTGAGGAGCAGCTGCTAATCTTGTGATTCAAACTGATCTTGTAGTTCAGTGCTTATGCTACAGCACCATACAAGAACTCTGTAAATAAATTAGTAAATGTTATATAGTTCTCTTAAACTCCTTACCTAAATTCTTATTTATCAAAAAATAAATAAAAACCTAAGACTATGAGAAGATTAAAAGCATAGTGCTGCAGAAAATTTCCATGGTTGAAATAACTTAGAAAACACATTTTTAATATAAAAAATTGTAATGCAAATTGTTTATATATAAAAGGAAAGCACTGCATGGGTTTAATTATGATTTGGAGTCCTGGTGTGGTGCTGTAGGATAAAGACCTTTAGGTCAGCTGTTCAAAACCACCAGCCAGTCCTTGGAAATCCTACATAGGAACCAACTCATTGGCACTTAACAATGACAACCATTATAACTTACAATGAACTTGACAGTGTACTTGCAGAGCCACAAAAGATGAATATGACACTATTCTAATTTGAGTCAGGAAGATAAGCCCACACAGAAACAGTGATAAGAACAACAATTCCAAACAAGCATTTACTGAGTGCTTGCAATGCTCAGGCCTTTTACGTTGATGCTCGAACTCATTCTGCGCCGTCTAAGGTGGACAACTGTTACAGTATAACTGTGGACCGTCAAGCCAATTTCGGACTCAGAACATCCCTACACAACAGGCAGAACTGCCCCACAGGGTTTCCTAAATTGTAACCCCACCAACTTTTTGGTTAGCAGCCAAGCACTCAGTGTTAGACTCCCAATAAACAAGGTGAGCACAGGCTTAGTTGTGCTGACTTGTTCGTCTGTAGTGAACAGTTCCACATTTTTTCACCACCTCAAAGATCCTGCGTCTAGGTGTGGCTGCCATTGTTCTCTCTTCTTACCCCACACCACCATTCTACAGAATCAAAACCTCTTTTCTAATGTACAGTCCCAGGCAGGGCGAACACTCAGTAAGCAAGGTGACATGAGCTAACGTGTGCTCACGTAATCTGTAGTCAACAGCTTCACATCTTTCTCACTACATTGCTTATCTTGCTTATTGGGTAATCCATCCCACTGCAAGCACTTAACCACTGAGCCACTGGGGCTCCCTACTCAGATGTTACCTATTAAGAAACGAGACATTAAAGTCAGACAGATGAGCATGGTCAAGCCCAGCTGAGAACCCAGAGACTGGCTCCAATCTACTATCATACAAGGAAGCAAGTGTCAGTGAAAGAAGAGTGTCCCCATGGGTTAATGTGCTGGATCGTCAAGTCGGTTTTAACTGCAAGGTCAGTGATTCAAGCTCATTAGCCCCTCCTTGGAAACCCTATACAGGGTACTTACAAGTCGAGATCAACTGGCTGGCACTTAACAACAACAACATGGGGTACTAGGAGTCCTGATGTGGTGCTATAGGGTAAGCACTGAACTGCTAATCACAAGGTTGTTGGTTAAAACCCACCAGTTGCTCCTCGGAAACCCTATATATGGTTGCTATGAATTGGAACTGACTTGATGGCACTTAACAACAACGTGGTATTATGGAGACTGATTACTTACAGTTTGGAAACCTAGAAACACACCCAACACAGATAATGTTTCATCTGCATCTCAACAAATGGGGAAAATTAAAGGAAAGGAAACTATTGAAATGCTATTGATAATTTGACCAAATCACCTCAAATGGTAACATTTTAATACTTTAAAAGAAATGCAGTTATATTCCAAATCAAGAAATCAAAATTGTCACATCAAAACATAAAATAATTACATATGTAAAGAATTTAGAATGACAGCTTTCTTATGAGGTCATACTTGTTTTATTGACTGTTAGCTCAGTAAACCACAATCAAGCAAACAACAGTAATGCAAACTGTAGCTCTCATCCTATTCCTGTCAAAATACACACACACTGAATGTAAGCTGATGAAACATGAGGTGAATTTCATATGAATCTACCAGTATAGAATGTGAGAAGATTAAGTAAGACTCTGAAATTTCTTCTTAGAACAAAGTTGTTAATACATGCTATACCTATTTTTTCAGGCTTCAGCAGCTTGAAAGAGACAGTCGAGGTTCCTTTGCCACCAGACTTGGTTGTCACAATGATGTCCCCTTTGTCATTTTTAGCTTGTCCCACTCGACACACGATTTTACTTGCAGACATCCATTCTGCAGTCAGGAGGCAGTTGTGCCCACAGATGGTCAGGCCTGGAATGCAAGGGTGACAACATGAAGCCCAGAGCAGCAGTGACGAGACTTTCAGCTTCTCGACGCATGATAAGCAAATTTTTCTGTTAGTAACACCAGCTTGTTCCATGAGCTGAAAAATGAATCTAAAAATAACATTCTCTTATTCAAGAACTTTTTATTGTTGGATATAACCAATATTGGGGAGCGTGATGGCTCTGTAGGCTAAAATCTGGACTGCAAACCACAAGGTAGGTGGCTCAAGCCAGTCATTCTCTGGGAGAAGGATGAGGCTTTCTTCTCCCACAAAGATATATAGCTTCAGAAACATTAAGTTAACTATAGGCACTTATCATCAACAACAAAACCAGTATTATTCGCAAATACACTGCTGTTTTTACTGAATTTGGTCTATTCGGTTTTTTACCTAACATTTATGACTTCATGTACAGTACTTTTATGTTTCTTTAAACGTCAATGGTATTAGAAAACAATTTATCATAATTGCGTTATATACATTCCGGATTAAACTAAGAGAATCTCCAACTGCTATCATAAATACCAGAAGGAAAACTATTGATTGCTACTATTAGAAGTCTAAGTTGCTGATATAAATTTGAAAGTATACTAGCAAGCATACGTATCATTCTGTAAAAAAAAATTCTATACTCACCCATCTTCCTGAAAATAACCTGCATGTACTTTTATTTTGCTCGTCTTTAATTATATGTTGCATTAGAGAATGGAGCCAACTACTAGCTCTCTTGAGGATTCTGACCTAAAGTGGATTCTTTATTTTAAACAGAGCCTGCGTCTTGTTTTACTGGATGACCATCTCATTCTGTGTCTGCATAGCAGCTCCTACATACAGCAGGGTTCATGCTGCCTTAGTGTTTTCCTGAAGAGACTGTCACTAGACCTTCTGTCCCTACAGTCAAGCTGCATTCCGGAGAGGCTGCCTAAGCTTACTGACGGCCGGCACTCTCAATACCTAGTAAATGAATTAAAGCACATACAGGAGCCACCCAGCGCAGCAGGGAAAGGTTGTGGTGGGTGACACTGTCCTCAGGCGAGGCGCCCATATTCCGTGTGACACACCATCTTGCTGCCTGTCTGCTCCTGCCGCAATTCAGCCTGAGAAACCCTAGGGGGCCGTTCTACTGGGTCCTACAGGCTCACGAGGAGTTAGAAGGGAGTCAATGGCAGTGGGTTTGGGTTGGTTTAAGTCAAAAGATCCGCCATCAGTCTACTTTGATGCTGGAAGCGATTCCAACTCTGCTTCAATACCAGCACAGTCACCCGTAGAGGGCAGGCTTCAGTGAAGCTATAACAGGAGGGCCTAGCAATTTACTCCCAAAATCAGCCAATAAAAGCCTGTGGATAACAACTGTTTTTGTTGTTTAGGTCATCGAGTCCATTCCGACTCATAACAACCCAGTATGCAGTTTCCAAGAAGCAGCTGGTGGGCTTGAATTGCCACCTTGAAGTTAGCAGTCCAGTGCTAGTCCTATACCACCACATCAGGGCTCCTATAGGCAGCAACAGGACACAATAAAAAATTTTTTTAAATCCCAAAACATATTGATCACAACGAAACACTGTCTAAATGACTTGCTTTGGACATGTCATCAGAGGGGTCAATGACATGTCTTTACTAGAGAAGGGCATCATCTTTGGTGGAACCGAGGGCCAGTGAGGGCAGGCAGACCCTCAGTTTGATGGACGGGCACAGTAAGCATAGCGATGAACTTTGAGTGTGTTGGGGATCATGAAGACGAACCCAAGTCAGGCAATGTTTGGTTCAGGTATGCACAGGTGCCACAAGTCCAAGACAATGTACTGGCAGCTATCACCCTAACTCTACATAAAAAGATAAATTAACCTGGGTGGGAGTTAATTTGAAGAGATTTTTTTGTCTGAATCCTTGGCAAGAAAACAGGTATAAACGACTCAGGAAACTGAATACAGGGCAGCATCAACCTGGGCAGAGAAACAGAATTCATAGGTAAAGATGCATGCTGGTGAGAGAGAGGGGCCTCATTTAGGTCTAGTGAGGTCAGAGAGTCAAAAGGCACTGACTCCAACAGCAGTAGATGTGATATGCAGAGCAGTGAGAAACAGAAGGCAGGGCTCACAGAGTACTTCAGAACGTCTGAGGACATTTGTACAAGTGGGGAAGACCAAAGGGAACCAAAAACCAGGAGACTGTTTGGGCACTTGAAGCTGAGGGGATCAAAGCTAAGGAAATAGGGTAATTCTCAGCTGGGAGATACTTTCTTTAATAAGGACAGAACTTGGTGAAAGACAATAGCCACAAGACTCCGGAAAATAATGACTTGAACAGGAAAATCAGAGAAACAATTCTTTTGATTTTTATTCAGGTTTTTATATACAGCTCACAATGATGTGACCTACCAACTTCCTAATTTCAATAACTTATCTTTCCTCATCTGCCCAACATAAAGAGATATATACCACAAAGGATCTTACCTATGAGGTCAGGTGGACCAGTTCCCAGGTTTTCTCCTCTAATTGTGACCTTTGTCCACGGGATTCCTTCCTTTGGAGAGATGCCTGTCACCAGGGGGGGTTGTCGTGATCGAGACATTTTTAAAGCAAATTGATGATCTAGTTATAGATGAGCTGTCAAAACAAAAAGAAAAACATAGTGCCAAGGAAACTGAGAATTAACTGAAATCATAATGAGAGACATTCAGCATCAAAAACTGAATGTATCCTAACTAACACCTTAGCTGTCACTTAGCCTGTCAGTCGGCATCTACTCAACATGAAGTTTATTTACAACACTCCAGTCAGTGCTACAAGAGACACAGCAGGAGAACAGTGGGGAACAAGGTTTTGGGTTCTAAGAATGTTCAATGTGACACCACACAGACTCTAATGTATTTAGCCTCATCCCTGTCTGCTAAATCCCGAATACATACCAGGACCTGTGGTGATGGTGGTGTTGTTACGTGCCATTAAGCCAAATGTAGGGTTTCCAAGGCGATGTGGCACTCATTGTAGGATAATGCACTGGACCACAAGGTTGGTTTGAACTGCAAGGTCAGCGGTTTGAACTCATCGGAAACCCTATACAGAACCGACTTGACGGCACTTAACAACGACAACAACAACTCTTTATAAGAGGAGACAGTCTCCCCTTTCTCCCACAGGACCTGTGGTAGGCATTTTCATGTACTACTCGCTCAAAGCTCTACTCCAAGGTTAAATATGGAAGCTATTCGGATTAATGTATTGAAATTCCTAACTCACCTCAAATACAGACATACAGGCAGGAGCCAGAGGGAGCTAACTGTCCTGATGATGGCTCAGTCAAAGTGCACCTTGTGGAGTGATCAGACCTGTATTCCATTCCCCGGGCTCCAGTACACTCCCTGTGTTCTGAATCTCTGTCTTCTTATGTATAAAAGGGGGCTACTACAGTTTAAGTATTGTGCATGGGCCTCTTTCTGACGAACACATGATGTTTAATCAACATCACATCCCGAATGATTGTTAGTTACACAATACATTGGTTAAAAAAAAAAAAAGCCTGCCCTATGACTGCTGACAGAAGTCAAATACTTTCTGCATGTTTCATGGTATCAATGGAACACTGAAACGGAATAGGACAAAAACATACGATGGAGGGCTGGGATAGGAGAGAAGTATTAAGTTTAGAAATGTAGGGGGGAAATTATGAGCAAAAAGACTACTGAAAAGAATAAAATACTCAGCAATACATTTTACCAAAAGAGTTCCAAAACTATATTCTGAAAACTTTAAAACATAATTGCAAGAAATTAAAGGTCTTCGTTAAATAAATGCAAAGATCCCCTATCTGTAGATCCCAAGACTTAATACCAAAATGGCAGTGACTGCCAAACTGATCTACAGATTCAATTAAATCATATAAAATCCCAGATGGAATTTTTACAGAAATTTACAAGCTAATCTACAATTCATATTGAAATGCAAAGAACCCAGACTAGCCAGAAGAATCCTGAAAAAGAACAAAGTTCGAAGACGCATGTCTCAACATCAAAACTGACAACGTGGCCATAACCAAGCTCACGTGCTACGAGCACGCTGTTGTAAGTTTCCATCCAGGCAATTCTGACTCCTGGCAATTCCAAGTGTGCAGAGCAGAACAGCCCTACTGTACAAGGCTTTCAAGACTGACATTTAAAAAGCAGCTCACCAGGTCTCCCAAGGCATCTCTGGGTGGGTTCCAATCACCAACCTAGCATCTAGTCATCTAGAACCAACTGACTGCACCACCCAAGGACTCCTGTGTCACTAGCACACACACACACAGGCACAGACAGACAGGTGTGGCTTACTGTTCCAGATACATTCTGTTAAGCGGGACAGTATGTGATTTGGACATTGTGTAAATACCATATTAATCCTTACGGGAGTCTTCTTCTGGTCGTCCTCTTCACCACTGTTGCTACAAGAGCGGCTGGCTAAGACTGGAGAAGAGGGCAGCAGCAAGCACAGTGGCTGAGAGGGCAGCAGGAGGAACAGAGCGAGAATCAGAGAGGACAAAGTGGAATGTGCCCAGCCGCTCCAGCTGTTCCGCCTGCCTGGGCTGCTCCTAACACAGCCCGCAGCCACCACTCTGCCCATTGTCAGGGTTAAGATGTGTGACAACTTGAGGGGCCAGGATTCTCAATGGTCTGATAGTTGAGACAGTAATCTCCCATGATGAGATCTGCAATGAGCAGCCAATCAAGTGAAAGGAAATTTCCTCAGGTGTGTGGCCAGCTTCCAAATGAAAGGATGTTTGTTTCCTCAAGTGTGTGGTCAGCTTCCAGTATCTTGAACACTCAAAGTCTGATTTGCTTTCTGCTGGGTCTGGATCCTGCTTCGGCCTCACCATCCGACCTCTGGTTCTCAAAACTTGGGCCAGTAGCCTGCTCAATTGCCTGCCGATCCTGGGAGTTGCCAACAGCCCACCGTCTGACTTGTCACTCTGGATTCCTGAGCTCCGCAGCTGCAAGGTGTCAGAAGCCTCCTACCTGACATCTGACCATGGACTTGGGACTTGCCCTCCACTACAACTGTGTGGGCCATTTCTTTGACACATACCTTTCATTATATAAACACACATAAGCTTCATTGGTTTGCTTCTCTAGAGAACTCAGCCTAAGACAGAGCCCACAGCCAGGGTCATGTCCTCTGCCTCATCCACTTGTCCCCCACCTGCAGTCCTGTGCATTTGTTGTTGTTCTAGTTAAGTGCCATCAAGTCAGTTCAGACCCATAGTGACCCTGTATAGGATTTCCAAGGAGCACCTGGTGAGCTTGAACTGCTGACCCTGCAGTTCAAGCGGACGTTCCGGTCCATCACATTAACCCACAGTGTCACACCAGAACTCCTTAGAACCAATAGGAAGAAATAATAAACAAAGAAGGATCGTTTCCATTAAAATAAAAAATCTTATGGGGCTATGCGGACATATGTGCAGTAAGACACTGTCCAAATAGAGGTTAAGTGAGGCATACCTACCTATCAATAGTGTAACACAAAAAGTCTACACACTGAGTCCTTACACTTTTAACCAATACAGAAAAAATTATTCTTTTAACAAACGGTGCGGAAACAACTTGATATCCAGATGTAAAACACTGGAGTTAAATCCTTTCCTTACATCATACGCAAAAATGTACTCTAAATGAATTATAGACCTAAATGTCAAAGATATAAAATATAAAACACTTAGAAGAAAACCTAAGAGTTTTATGAGCTTAGAAAAGACAAGGTTTGCTAAGATACTATGCCAAAAGCACAAATAACAAAAGAAAAAAGATAAAACTGAAATTCATTACAATTTAAAATGTTTGTGTTTCAGAAGACACCATCAAGAAAATGCAGACAGCACATAAGACAGGAGAAAATATTGGCAAATCATAGATCTGATGCTGTTGTTGTTAGATGCTATCAAGTCGGCACCGACTCATAACGACCCTGTGCACAACATGCTGCCCAGTCCAGGGCCAACCTCACTATTGTTGCCACGCTTGAGTCCACTGATGCTGCCACTTGGCCAATCCATCTCACTGGGGGTCTTCCTCTTTTTTGCTGATCCTTCACCTTACCAAATATGGTATCCTTCTCCAGAGACTGGTCCCTCCTGACAATATGTCCAAAGTATGAGAGATGAAGTTTGGCTATCCTGGCCTCCTAGGAGCACTCTGGCTGCACTTCTCCCAACACAGATCTGTTGGTTCTTTTGGCAGCCCATGGCACTTTCAACATTCTCCTCCAATACAGTAAAACTCAAAGCATCAATTCTTCTAGGGTTTTCATTATTCACTGTCCAGCTTTCACATACATATAGGTTATTAAAAATACCATGGCTTGGGTCAGGTGCACCTTAGACCTCAAGCTGACATCTTTGTTCTTCAACAGTTTAAAAAGGTCTTGTGCAGTAGATTTGCCTAATGCAATATGTCGTTTGATCTCTTGACTGCGGCTTCATGAGTGTTGATAGTTTATCCAAGAAGAATGAAGTCCTTGACAACTTCAATCTTTTCGTCGTTGATAAGAATGTAGTTTACTAGTCCAGTGGTGAGGATTTTTGTTTTCTTTACATTGAGATGCAATCCGTACAGAAGGCTGTGCTCTTTGACCTTCAACAGTCACTATTTTAAGTCCTCTTCACTTTCAGCAAGCAAGGTTGTATCATCTGCATATCGCAGGTTGTTAATGAGTCTCCCTCCAATCCTGACGTCACGTTTTTCTTCATATAACCCAGCTTTTCTTGGATTATTTGCTTGGCATACAAATTGAATACGTTTGGTAAAGAACACAACCCTGTTACACACCTTTCTTAATTTTAAACCATTCAGTGTTCCCATGTTCTGCTTGAACAAATGCCTTGATCCACATACAGATTCCTCATGAGCACAATTAAGTGTTCGGAATACTCATGCTTCGCAATGTTGTCCATAACTTGTCATGATCCAAACAATTGAAAGCCTTTGCATAGTCAATAAAGCACAAGTAAACATCTTTCTGATATTCTCTGTTTTCAACCAAGATTCATCGGACATCAGCAATACAACCATCGTCCCACAGCCTCTTCTGAATCCGGCTCGAACCTCTGGAAGTTCTCTATCAATGCATGCTTGCAGCGGTTTCTGTATTACCTTTAGTAAAGCTGAACTCTCATGGGATATCAAAGAGATTGTCTGATGATTTCTGCATTCCAATGGGTCACCTCTCTTTGGAATGGGCATAAAAATGGATCTTTTTGAATCAGTTGTCCAGATAGCTGTCTTTCAAATTTCTTCGCATCGATGAGTGAGTGCCTCCAGTGCTGCCTTACTTTGTTGAAAGATTTCAATTTTTATTCCATCAATTCCTGGTGCCTTGTTCTTTGCCAGTTCCTTCAATGTACCCTGGACTTCTTCCTTCTGTATCATTAGCTTTGATCATATGCTACTTCTTGAAATGGTTGAACGTCAACCATTTCCTTTTGGTACACTGACTCTATGTACTTCTTCCATCTACTTTTGATGCTTTCTGAATCATTCAATAATCTGCCAAGAGACTCCTTCAGTAACGAAGTCAACGTTTGAGTTTTCTTCAGTTCCC